TGTATCTATCGCGAGATACCGCCTAACTCTGGCTAGCCTAGTTTACCCGATCTCGCGAGATCTTCAACACCCTCTCTATTTTCCCGCGATTCCAACTTGGTAAAAATTGCGCCTATGCTCTGACTTCCGAAATCAGCCACACCCCTTCGCAGTACATCTTTGGGCTCCTCCTTAAGCTCCGCCTTACTCCCGGCCACCTTTGCGCTGCGCGCCTGCGCCATCATCCCCGTGGTTCTGGACCCCGAGCCGCCGGCCTGTGCGCGCGCGCCCTCGCCCCTGTTGCGCGTGGTGTCACCTTGGGCGCGAGCGGGGCCGCGCGTGCACGGGACCGGGTGTCCAGGGCTATCGAGTAGCGATGGCGGCGACGGCGAGTCCCGGGGCCGGCGGGATGGACGGGAAACCCCGTACGTCCCCTAAGTCGGTCAAGTTCCTGTTTGGGGGCCTGGCTGGGTAAGCGCAGGCCCTAGGGATGGTAAAGAGGAGGAAGGGACGGGTGCAAGTAACCGGGCCCAGTTCATCTTGGGGTCTGTTGCAGTGTACTGAGCCGGCACGGGGTCAGCGCCGTCCTCAGTGTTCTTCGAGGTTCTTGATGGGATACCAGGATATTTTTACCCATTGCAGGGCCCTTACTAGGCTGCATGCGGGGTCCTTGCACGGCTCCCGCTGGGCGGCCACCTGAATTTCTCAACCCATTGCTTGGCTCTGCCAGGTTTATGGAGTTCCAGGTCATTGCATGGCTCTTGCCGGTCCTGAATACCCATGCATGCAGTCCCAAGTCACTGCTTGACCCCCTTGGAGTTGCATGGAGCACTTTTCATTGCATGCTGGATCATTGGACTGTTAGACCCATTGCTCCTGATACACGCATAGACTTATACTCATGTCCAACGACCTCCTGAACATTTAGTCAATCGAATGGCAGGCCCTGCCCCTTGTGACTTGTTGCCAGGCACCAGTAGGCACTGGTAGATCTGGGACACTTTGACTCTACCCCTGTCTTCCCCCAGGATGGGAGCTACCGTTTTTGTACAACCCCTGGACCTGGTGAAGAATCGGATGCAGCTGAGCGGGGAAGGAGCCAAAACGCGAGAGTACAAAACCAGCTTCCATGCCCTTACCAGTATCCTTAAGGCAGAAGGGCTGCGGGGCATTTACACCGGGTATTGAGGCCACAGGATGGGGATTAGGGTGCGGGTTGGCAGCTCCAGACCTTGGCCTAATAGACTGACCCCTTCACTCCCCAGGCTGTCAGCTGGCCTACTGCGCCAGGCCACTTACACCACCACTCGCCTTGGCATCTATACTGTGCTGTTTGAACGCCTGACTGGGGCTGATGGTACACCTCCCGGCTTTCTGCTGAAGGCCCTGATTGGCATGACTGCAGGTGCAACTGGTGCCTTTGTGGGAACACCAGCTGAGGTGGCTCTTATTCGCATGACCGCCGATGGCCGGTGAGTTCCAGGTCTGAGCCCGCCTCCAGCTCCATTCCTTGGAATCTAGAATTAAGGACTAACTTCTTATCTTCGATCTAAAGCAGAGCATTCACCTGTTCTGGACACCCTTTTTTTGTTCCTGTGGGACAGGATGGTCTGTCCTGAGCTTGGCCTCTCCCTGCCTTCCCACCAGGCTTCCACCTGACCAACGCCGTGGCTACAAAAATGTGTTTAATGCCCTGGTTCGAATCGCTCGGGAGGAGGGGGTCCCCACACTATGGAGGGTGAGTGAAGGGGCTGGAGACCTGAGGGGTGGGGTCAGGTCCCAGGCATTTCTGAATCCTCTTCCACTCCCCACCCAGGGCTGCATCCCTACCATGGCTCGGGCGGTCGTCGTCAATGCTGCCCAGCTCGCCTCTTACTCCCAATCCAAGCAGTTCTTACTGGACTCAGGTGAGACCTAGAGCTGGGCCCTTAGCTCCCAGCCTGGCCTGAGCCGGGCTCTAGCTGACTGCCACTCCCTGCTCCACCTCCCCCAGGTTACTTCTCTGACAACATCTTGTGCCACTTCTGTGCCAGCATGATCAGTGGCCTGGTCACTACTGCTGCCTCCATGCCCGTGGACATTGTCAAGACCCGGTGAGTCTGCAGACCTGGGCCTGGAGAAGGAAGGGAGGGCCCCCGTTAGGTCTCTCATGCCCCTACCTCCTCTCCTTCAGGATCCAGAACATGCGAATGATTGACGGGAAGCCGGAATACAAAAACGGCCTGGTGAGGAAACAGGGCTGGGGGCTTGGGCTGGAGGATTGGATGTCCTGGGAAAACAGTGAGGGTCGCTGGGTATGAGGGCCAGGGCCCCAGAGGCCAGGTCCTAGCCCCAGTGTCCTGCCCACCTGCCTGTCTAGGATGTGCTGGCAAAGGTCGTTCGCTACGAGGGCTTCTTCAGCCTGTGGAAGGGATTTACACCGTACTATGCCCGCTTGGGCCCCCACACCGTCCTCACCTTCATCTTCTTGGAGCAGATGAACAAGGCCTACAAGCGTCTTTTCCTCAGTGGCTGAGGCAGGCGAGGGGCCTGGAGCCAGTGTGCTGGGCTCCCACTCGCCTGCTGCTCCTACAGTCAGTGTGCCCCTGGGGGGCTGGACTGCTGCCCTGGGCCCCTCTATTTATTTTCCCTCCACAGTGTGGTTCCTTCCTCTGCGGTAAAGGAGTTTGGTCTGCCCTCCCCCTGCTCCAGCTCACCCTGCTTGTCCTGATCTTCATGACCTCTCTGTCCCTGGCTGTGCCTTGGGGGAAGCTGAGAAACTCCCTGAGAATGTCCAGCCTCCTCTGGGTGTGAGTTTCACGTCACCTAGGACAGCAGAAGATCCCCCTTCTCAGTAGCGAAACCAAGGCAGAGCTGAGGGACTAGAGAGCGAGGGAGCTGTCAGGATGGTCGGAGGGTCTGCAGTGAGAGGACATAATCAATAAATTGGATTTCCTCCACTTCCCTGAGGACATTGTAATTGGATTGATAACACTACCCCCAAATTTGAAGAGTTGTGAGGGCTGGAGGAGGGGGGAGACTGGACAAAGAAGTGATGCCCCTGGAGAACATCAACTGGAATTTTTAAGAAAAACGATGAAAGAAAAAGCACCTGCTGGTTTTATGAAAGTGCGATGTAAATCAGTCTCACTGTGGCAGCTGACTGGGTGAGGAGAACCAAAACCCAAGCACTGTGTCTTGCTTCCCAGCCACTCGGCCAAGAATGTGACAGATGCACAAGTCAGCACAAGTCAGCTCATGTAATCCCCGGGAAAGCCTCGGGTCTGGTGACTGCTTCTGTGGCCTAAAGAGGGAGGGAATAAAGAGTATGAGAAGAGAAGGCTGACTTGTGTGTTGGGGGGAGGGTGGGGGGGGGGGGGGAGCACAGGAGCCAGACTCCCAAAGCCTGGAGTTTGAGGAACCCGAGACTTGATCTGGGCACTAGGTTGGGGAGAGTGACTGCCTTGTCTGCGTGACTCCCAGACCCTGGCCTCTAGGAGCCCCCAAAGCTCTTGGGGCATAAAAGGGTATGAGAAGGTCAGCTGGAAGGAGGGTTGGGCAGTATGAGGTCTGAAGGCTTGTGAGCCAGGCCAGGGGACAGGCAGGCAGCAGGTGGGAACTGTCCTCTTGGCAGAGCCTCTTGATAGAAGTGGAGCTCAGCATCCTGGCATCGTGCTGGGCCCTCCCACCTCTGCCTGTCTTTAGCTGCTCCATGTACATGCTGGCCTGCGCCTTGTGGCCACTTTGAGACACTTGGGGTCTGAGTCTTATACTTAAGGAATTCCAAGTCCAGAGGGGAAGATAGCACAGGAGCAGTTCGGGTTGCTGGGAGTGTAGCAATAGGCTGGTCTGGGTAACTTGGAGCACCCGGCTTTGCTTGGGGGAGGAGAGACCTGTGCACTGTAGCAGACTGACTGGGGAAGTGGGGCGAGGCAGTTCTGGCTGACATGACAGCAAAGGCTTAGAGGGGAAAGGGCGGGGAGCAGGTGCAATAGCCGGGACACAGGTGGTGAAGTTTTTGTGAGATGGAGCTGAAGTGTTCAATGGATCAGTGCACAGAAGTCCTTGATTGTCATGCTCAGGAGTTTGTCCTCTACCCAGGGAAGAGTTTAGAGCAGGAGAAATTCAGTTGGGTTTTCGAGTTAAGAAGATTCTTCCAGCACCATCTGGGAGAGGGGGGTCTTCTCATTCTCTGGGCCCCAAGCCTAGGTTTGTGCAGGAGGCAAGGTAGGACAGGGCCCCATCAAATGTGGTGAGGAGAACGGGAGAATGTGGCACAAGGTGAGAGAAGTGGGTTCCATTAGCATGTGTCCTAGCTTGAGAGTAGGAAACGGACTACTCGGTAAAACCCACACCTTTCCTCTGTCCCACTCACCTGAACAGCGCAGGAAAGCTGCATTCCTGAGGCTGCAGGTGAGAGCAAGCACCCACCTTCACTCCTAGTGCTGCGGGCCACAGGCAGGCCTCGGTGGTGTTACTAACCTCCAGGGAAACGTATGGTTCTTGATCTGGAACTGGTGCTTGGGGTGGCCTGGAGGGTGGTCGCCCCTGGAGGAGACAAGTAGGCACCCCAAGCAGGAGAAGTGCAATGTAAGGCTAGATCTTTTTGGGTGAGTAGTGCAACTAGAGTGGGGGTAGCTGGAGCCTTGGGAATGCCAAGGACAGGTGTCCCAGCCACTCTTCCTCTCCAAAAGAACTTAATTTTTCTTTTTGAAATTATTTTTTATTATACAAATAATATGGTGATAGAAAATGCCAAGCAGAGGAAAGGAAAACCATATTTATACCACCCCAAGACAGTCAGGGTTCACATCTTGATAAATCTCTAAATTTTCAATACAGATAAATGTGAGGGCCACTATTCTATTTTTTAAAAATATTTTTATTGATTTTTTTTTTTTTTTTTAGAGAGAGGAAGGGAGAGGAATAGAGAGGTAGAAACATCAATCACTGATTGGCTGCCTCCTCCATGCCCCACACTGGGAATTGAGCCCACAACCCAGGCATGTGCCCTGACCAGGAATTGAACCATGACCTCTTGGTTTATAGGACAATGCTCAATCGCTGAGCCACACCAGCCAGGTTCTATTCTGGTTTTTATTTGCTTTTATCTAAAACTTCCCCAAAGTAGTAATAACCTAGTGGTCTGACACCCCCACCTACATCCAGTGTTTTTTTCTATGAACCACCCACTCCATCTCACTTCCTCTCCTGGCTTACTGGTTTTGAGGTTATGTTCCTGTGGTATGAAGGGAAGGCTTCTGATAAGAAAGTAATTAAGACCTCCCCCTGACCCTGTGATTTTCACTAGCCCCCACCCCCCACTAGATCCCAATAAGAAAGCCCATGAGAGCCTCTCAAAGTCCCCACATCACCCAATCTCAGAGGCTGTGGCCAGAGTACCTAATGCCCACTGTATCCAGCAGGTCCTGACCACGACCCAGACTCAGGGCTGAGGGCCGCCGTCCTGCCACCAGAGGCCCCACACGGCCGTTAGGCCGGATCCACAGGAAGAGGCTGGAGCGGAAAGTTGGGAGTGATCCTTGGAGGAAAAGCAGCCAGGCCCGGGGCACAGCCACTTGCCTTCCCCTCTGCAGCTCCAGATGTGTGGTGTGCTTGGCTGTGGTCAGGGGAACAGGCTGGCCAAAGTCCAGGGCCTGCGCTTTCATGTGCCGGACCCAGATCAGCAGCAGGATGAGGACCACAGAAGCAAACAGGAGCCAGAGGAGACCCAAGATGTAGAAGCCCAGGGGGAGGAGACAGCAAAAGTCGGGGTTGAGAAAAGGGTCGTTTCTGGAGCTATCCACATTCCCTTGAGCCAGTCCTCGGACCTTTTCGGGGTCGAAAAAGTCAGAGATGATTGTTGTGGATTTTAAGGGAGAGAGGGAGGTGGGTTCTGTGGTCAGTTCTGAAGTGGTCTGGAGTGTGCTGGGTTCTGAGGTTATGGGTTCTGAGGTGGTTGGAGTTGTGGTTTCTGGGGTGCTCGGGGTTGTGATGGGTTTTGGGGTGGTCAGGGTCGTGGTCTCTGGGGTGGTCGGGGCTGTGGTGGGCTCTGGGGAAGTTGGGGCTGTGGTGGGCTCTGGGGTGGTAGGGACTGTGGTGGGCTCTGAGGTGGTCGTGGCTGTGGTGGGCTCTGGGGTGGTCGGGGCTGTGGTGGGCTCTGGGGTGGTAGGGACTGTGGTGGGCTCTGGGGTGGTTGGGGCTGTGGTGGGCTCTGGGGTGGTCGTGGCTGTGGTGGGCTCTGGGGTGGTCGTGGCTGTGGTGGTCTCTGGGGTGGTCATGGCTGTGGTGGTCTCTGGGGTGGTCGGGACTGTGGTGGTCTCTGGGGTGGTCGAGGTTTTGGTGGTTTCAGTCGTGGGTTTTGGAGTGCGGGAGAATGTAATGGATTCTAACATGGTTGAAAATGTGGTCTGTTTCTTAGTGGACTCACGAGTTGGAGGCAAGTAGGGCATTTGGCTGTCTGGAGAAGCAGTAGATTCTGAGTAGAGTAGGCCCCAGTGAGTTGTATGGGCATTGGTGTTGGTGATCACAGCCCTTGTGGTAGGCACCTTCTCACTCGTAGCGCCCTCGTCATATACATCATAGTCTAGGCCATCCACACTTTTGAGAGGGCCACAGTCCTTCCCTACATAGTCAGAGACGGGTGTTGCCATATTGACACATCGCACGCTCTTCACATTGGGGGTCATGGCCTTGTTTTCCGCACCCTCCTTCCATAAGTAGACACTGTCAGCATTGTCTCGCAGCCAGCGACTGAAATAACGGATGCTGCAGTCACAGAACCAGGGGTTATCGTGGAGAAAAGCGAAAGGCAGAAGGCGCTCTCCAAAGAAGCCCTCTGGTATTGTACGCAGCCAGTTTCCTTGGAGGTAGAGGGTGTCAAGCTCCTCCAACCCATCCAGAAGCTCAAGGGGCAGCTCCGTCAACCGGTTTTCAGCCAGATTGAGCTTCTTCAGCTGGGGTGTGGGCGCCAGGAGCCGGGGTGGCAGACTCTTCAGCCTGTTGGAACGCAGGGAGAGCTCATGGAGGTGGCTGAGGCCATCCAGGGCACCAGGAGACAATGAGGCCAGCTGGTTGAAGGAGACATCCAGGGTAGTGAGTGCTGGCAGTGTCTGTCCTAGCGAGGGCAGGCTTTTCAGCTGATTGTGGGGTATTTCCAGGGTCTCCAGCAGTGGTAGTTTCACATCGGCCTGCAGTTCGGTCAGTTGGCTGTCACCCACATGCAGCTGCGTGAGCCTAGTGAGAGGCTCCAGGGACGCCATGGAGAAGGAGCGCAGGGGGTTCTCGCCCAGGCGGAGGATGGTGGTGTCTGCCGGCAAATCCGAAGGCATCGCCTTCAGACCCTGATTGTCACAGTTCACTTCCACCTGGCTGGCCACTCTGGAGACCTCACAGGCGGGGAAGAGATGTGAAAGGCTCAGTAGCAGGAGCAGCAAGAGGAGGAGAGGCATGAGGACCTGTGGGCGAGGGGAGTTTGAGCGGGTGCCTCACTGGCCCCAACATTCTTCCCCCAGGCCCTAGCCCTCACTGAAGCCTCCGGGATCCTTTCCAGAAACTTGGCTCCCACACCTCCCAACCTCCACTCCCCTCTCCTGCCCTTGTCCCCCAAAGCCTTAACTGCTAGCTGCAGGTCCTTGGCTCTCATCCCTCCCTCAGACCCTCTCCCCTCCCCTCCCAGCCCTAACCCCAGCTTACGGGCAGGCAGAAGGACAGGCAGAAAAACCTCCAAAGGCACAGAGCTTCTTCCAGGGTGTGACTCGGTCCTTCTTTCTTCCAGCTCTAGGGAGGGCCTGGTCAGGGGCAGGAAGGGAATGGGGATGGGAGGAAGTGCCAACCTGATAGGGACTCCTGTGACCCAGTGAACACTCTCCCTCCCGGACACAGGCCCTTATCACCCCCTTCCACAGCCTTCCCCCAAGCCCTCCTTTTGGCTCTAATTTCTCCCACTTTCCTTCTACAGCAGGGAGATTGGGAGTGGACTTCTTTAACCACCACCCTCATCCAGCTTTTAGAAACCTCTCCAGCTGCCACTCTCACTTCCCCTCCACAGCTACATCGTTAGAATCGCCTAATTTTAACCCTCACCTCCCTCTGCCTTCTCACCTGACTCTAGGCTGGTTTCACCCCTCCATTGTTTAGCGTTCTTGCCAAGATTGCCAGTGCCCCCAACCCCTCTACAACCACTGGACACTTCTCCATTATTTTCCGCAGCCTGCATACTCACGGTCACACCCACCTCGGGACTCATAACACTAATCTTCCTGGTTTTCCTCTTACCTTTCCGGCTAGCCCTTCCCCATCTCCTTTGTGGATTCTTCTTCCTCTGCCCTTCATGAAAATTAACCAGCACCCCCCCTCCACCCCCTGTAGCAGGAAGAGGCAGGTGGGGAACATTCAAATTCTTTTTTTTAAAAAAAAATATATAAAGTTTATTGATTTTTTTACAGAGAGGAAGGGAGAGGGATAGAGAGTTAGAAACAACAGTGAGAGAGAAACCTCAATCAGCTGCCTCTTGCACACTCCCTACTGGGGATGTGCCCACAACCAAGGTACATGCCCTTGACCGGAATCGAACCTGGGACCCTTCAGTCTGCAGGCCGACGCTCTATCCACTGAGCCAAACCGGTTAGGGCCAGACCTCTCTCTTGAGACCCAAACACATATATCCCACTGCCTTTTGGATTTCTTGAGTGTCCCAAAGACACTAGAACAATATGTTCAAAACAGAGCTCATCTCTCTCCAAGTAACTTATCTGCCTGTGTTGTCCAGCCTGGTGAATGGTACCATTATGCATTTATTTGTCTACTAGCGATTTTCAACCATTTTCATTTCATGGCACACATAAACTAATTACTGAAATTCTGCAGCACATCAAAAAATACATTTTTGCCGATCTGACAAAAAAATAGGTATAACTTTGATTGATTTACCAAAATAATAATAATAATAATAGTAATTACCTACACTTTTTGCTCCAAAGTGACTTTTTAAAAAGTCAGGTGCCATTAAAAAAAAAAAAAAGCCAGATGCCTGTATTTGTAAATAAGGATTTCTGGTACCAAAACTTAACCAATAGTTGCAACCTTATTATGCAACATGATCAACAAGATGCAACTCTATTATACGACATATATGTATGGTTCAAGATGGCATTCACACTGGACTGCTATTGTGTTGGTTATTGATATGCATTTATTTATTTATTTATTTTTCAAAGTAACATCATTTTTATTTTTATTTTTTATTTTATTTTTAAAAAAAATATATTTTATTGATTCCTACTTTAACCACCACCCTCATCCAGCTTTTAGAAACCTCTCCAGCTGCCACTCTCACTTCCCCTCCACAGCTACATCGTTAGAATCGCCTAATTTTAACCCTCACCTCCCTCTGCCTTCTCACCTGACTCTAGGCTGGTTTCACCCCTCCATTGTTTAGCGTTCTTGCCAAGATTGCCAGTGCCCCCAACCCCTCTACAACCACTGGACACTTCTCCATTATTTTCCGCAGCCTGCATACTCACGGTCACACCCACCTCGGGACTCATAACACTAATCTTCCTGGTTTTCCTCTTACCTTTCCGGCTAGCCCTTCCCCATCTCCTTTGTGGATTCTTCTTCCTCTGCCCTTCATGAAAATTAACCAGCCCCCAGACTTTGGTTCTTTGGGCCCCTTCTTTTTGTTATGCTACACAAACCCCTGAGATTATCCTTGTCCATTCCCTTGCATTCAACTACCACTTGTACTCCAGTGACTTTTAAAATTTTATCTCTAGCCCAGACCTCTCTCTTTTAAAAAAAAAAAAAAATTTTGTTGATTTTTTACAGAGAGGAACGGAGAGGGATAGAGAGTTAGAAACATCGATGAGAGTGAAACATCGATCAGCTGCCTCCTGCACACCCCCCACTGGGGATGTGCCAGCAACCAAGGTACATGCCCT